GAGATCTTTCCAGGACCTGCAGGAAAGAGGGGTTGGGCATTTGGCCTAATGCTTAAGGCGTTGGTAGACAGCTGCCTCCTGCATCTTGGGCTTTGGCGCCGTGCCTGGCTCTGTTCCTGGTTCCAGCTTTCTGCTCACGCCGACAGTGGGAGGCAGCAGGGATGGCTTGAGTGACTGGATTCCTGCCTCCCACATGGGAGACCTGGAGTGAGCTCCTGGCTTCTTGCTTTGGCCCCACCCAAGGCTGTAGGAGGGAACCAGCAGAAGGGATCCATCTCTCTCTCTCTCACATAGATAAAATAAAACAAAACAGGAGCTGTGGCTCTCCAAAGTGCCTTGGTGGAAGGCTGACGTTCAGTGTCCATGGAGTATGCTCTGCCTGCCTTGTCAACGTGTCTGGGTTCGATGCCCGGCTCTGGCCTGGGAGGCAGCAGTGATGGTTCAGGTGACTGGATTCCTGCCAGCCACGGGAAAGACCTAAATTGCATTCCCGGCTCCTGCCCAGCTCTACCTGTTGCAGGTATTTGGGGGAATGAACCAGCAGATGGGAACTCTGTCTCTCGCTCTCTTAATTAATAAATAAAGAATTAAAAAAATCTGATAAACCTAGGTGCAAATTCCAGGAGGTCCAAATATTTGACACGTCAGCAGCACCAAATAGGCAACCTTCAAGTCAGCCCCTCCGGATCTCGCTGTTGGGGTGTTCCCACTCTGCTGTGCTCTCTGAGGTTGGGAGGTGGGTCGCTGACATGGCTGGGCTGCCCTCCGTGAGGGCTAGAGGGCCAGGCTGGTGCAGGCTGTCTCAAGGGGACCTCCACCCAGGGAGTACAGAGGGAGTGGCTTCCTTAGGACACAGGGACTCAGCAGGAAGTCTCCTGACAGTGCTTACAGATGTCTTTCTCACAGTCTCTCAGCAAACCCTAATTTCCCAAGTATGCGGGGCCTTCTGCCTCCTTGCTGCTGTCCCCTCACCCCAGTGCACACCGAGAGGGCCTGCCCGTTTCTCCTGTGCGTGGTTATTCGTTGAGCACAGGTGGCGAGCGGACTTCCATGTCCACATGTATGAGAGCATTGCCTTCACCCTGCTCATCCCAGAAGGGCCCATTCAGTGGTGCTGGGGAGTCCCATGAAAGACCCGCGGTTAGCTTTGGCTTCTTCTTCACACTCAGTGGCAGGTAGCTCTTAGGGCAGATGCCCAGGGAACTGGTTATTGTTGTTGACAAGGGGCAAGGATGGGGGTTTTCTGGTTGGAGAGGCAGGCTGTCTAACAGTCTCTGGTTGTTCCTCCCACGTGGGGAAGCTGAAGCTTGGGTGTAGAAGGGGTCAGGGGAGTGACTTGAGAATCAGGAAGCACATCTGATTCTGGGCATCCCACTGACTTCCTGGGTAACAGTGCACGCGGTAGCTACCCGAGAATTGTCAGCCACTGCTGTGTGATTCTCATCCGTAATAAATGACTGCATTCTTCCCTACAGCAGTCTCTCCCTTTGCTGGGTGTCTCTTCACCCGTGGGAGCACCGTCGTGCCTCACCTGTGCCGTGGCCCTTGCTGGGGCTGTGGCTCAGCATGGTTAGGCGCCTCACCCAATCTCGCACGGCTGATCGTTCTGTAATTGGGAGAGGTCTGTAGATCCTTGGAGAGACTGGTTAATGTCCTCAGCCCGGGGTGATGACAGTGCAGAAGCTTCTTGTCCGAGATGACAGGGTCCATTGGCCGATAGGTGGAGACTCTCTCTGTCTCTCCCAGACTCTCTGTAACTCTAATCTTCAAATAAATAAATAAATCTTTAATAACAAAAAGGAATAGGCTATAGAATAAAAGGGCATCTTCCTTATTGTCAAAGGCAGCATAGAACATACAGAATTAACTTATACCTGAGACTTCTCAGACAGCAACCCTGCCATCAGAGCCCAAGAGCTGCCATCCCAGAGCGGGGACCCCAGGTGGGGGAGCCTCCACCACCTGGCAGGAGATCCAGGTCCCCATCATTTCTCCTCAGGGCCCCAGCATGCACTGACCAACGCCATCCCGCCCGGCCCAGGCACCACCCACGTCCTCCTCTTCACAGAGAAAGCTCATGTGCTGGGAACTCGGGGGCCAGCCCTGGGAGGCGGTGGCTGTGAGCTCTGCGATGCACATGTCCACGCTGTCTAACCTTCACTGTCAGCCTCTTATGCCAAGGTGACTGATAGCCATCCTGAGCCCGAATCATCCATTACAGCTCCATCCCCGCCTCCGACCCCAGTGATAACTCTTTGCTCACAGTTTGCAGTCCAGGTCTCCCGACTTATCACCACTGCTCCTCTCTCTCTCTGCGGCCTGATATATGGCAGGATCAAGGAGGATTCGTCACTGTCCCCACACCAAGGAAAACTGCTTATGGGAGGCCAGCTGGTCCCAGGGCTCTCCAGGTTTTCAGGGGTAGGGGGAAGCAGAGGAGCTCATCCTGCTGTCCTGGGCACCCTTTCCCGATCGCCCCTTCCCATGCGGAGCCCTGGACAGGGTCCTTTCAGGGCAAGGGGCACCTGGCATTGCTGCCCAGAGACCTTCGGGAGCAATGGTATCCCCACCCCCCCCCCCACACACACACACGGAGCCTCTCCCACTTCCCCAGGCCTCCCTCGTCAGATCTTCCATCCATTGGTTCATTCTCCAAATGGCTGCAACAGCCAGGGCTGGGCCAGGCTGAAGCCAGGAACCAGGAGCTTCATTTGGGTCTCCCATGTAGGTGCAAGGGCCCAAGCACTTAGACCATCCTCAGCTGCTTTCCCAGGCCATTAGTAGGGAGCTGGATAGGAACCGGAGCAGCTGGGACACGAACCAGAGCCTGTATGGGATGTTGATGTCACAGGTGGCAGCTTTACCCACTATACCACATTGCTGGCCCTCTGTGGTGTGTATCTTACATGTGTACCTGTTCATGTATTCATTTTTACTATGTGCTTGCATGTTTTTGCCCTTGGTCTCTGCCATCTGAGGCAACTAGCTCATCTGACCCAAGTGGGAGCCCCAAAGTCATCTCCTTCCCCAGATGAGATGGTTTGAGGCAGTTTGCTCAGCACCCAGAGAAATCTTGGTCTGAGCTTGCATCCCAGACACTGGCTAACCCTGCTGCTCGTGGATGCACTTGGTCAGCTGGGTTCACTCAATCCATTGTTAAGTCTCTAGTGAGTGTCAGGAACTGTGCTGAGCACTTTGCAAGTGGAGATGGGAAGGAATGGACAGAAGCCACGTCAGCCTAGAGGATATCAGGTGACGGAGGTGGGAGGGAGAGTAGTCACCCCGTGATGCACAGACTGTGGAAGTTCCCCCTGCGAGAGGCCAGAGGTGCAGGGGAGGGTGGGCAGGGCATCCATCAGAAAGTGGGGCTTGGAATGGGCTTTGATGTGGGGAGCAACTCGGACTAGACTAAGTTACTGGAATTAAGACTTATTCTATGCATCTGCTCTCCCACAATATGGCGCTGGGAGAGGAAGAAACAGCTTCTATACAGCTGCCTCCAGTTCAACCAATAAACAGCAGGACCTGCTCCTGATTGGAGGAGAACAGCGTACTCGGCGTGTGGGTAGCAGAGTTGGGATTGGTGGAAGAGGACTATAAAGGAGGAGAGAGACAACATGCACCAGGAACATCTATCCGAATAACACCTGAGGAACATCTGAGCAGCCCCCGAGAGAGCCGGCCGGCGGTGTGCCGCTCCCCTGCGGAAGTGGGGAAAGTGGCCAGGGGGAACCGCCCTTCCACGGAGGGTCGGTAGCCAACCCGGGAAGAACCAGCAGCAAACCCGGGGAGGGCCGAGCAGACAAAAGAACAACGCAGGGTCCTGTGTCGTTCCTCCGCGAAGAGGGGGAGCAACATAATGGTGCCGTGACTCGGATATGAAGCCTAGGCAGGGTTTAGTGTCGTTCCTCCGCGAAGAGGGGGAGCGACACTTTGAAGTCTGGGTAGAAGAATTTTCACAGGAAGGCCAAAGCATTTAAGCAGCACACGAATGCTGTGTGTGTGTGCGTGCGCGTGTGCATGTGTGAGAGAGACATGTAACAATATATATTATATAATACAAATAACATATGCAAGAGCACCTCAAAAGCCTCTTACAAAATGTACATAATGAAAAAAATGAGCATGAATTTCAGTTTTTTGCACGATGTAAACTTATCTCTTAATTCCATTTTCCCATGAACTTTTAAAGGTACCCTCCCATACACACTGATAGAACATTAAACCCACCCGCGGCTGCGCCGGATGGTGTTGCTGACTAGGACCGCATCTCTCCCATAGAATAACCCTCATTTTGTTAAAGTCCTAAGCCCTCTTGGGAAGGGGTTCTCAATCATGTTAAGTTCTTCTCTCCACCTGCACCTGTGTGCCTGGACCAAGGGTTGGGCAGTTTGTCTTCCTACTGGGCACCTCCCCAAGCCCGGTCCTTTGTGGCCTGGGCTGGTTTCTTTCCCTCCCCGAGAGAGGGGAAAAACCTCTGCTTGGTCTTTGTCTTGGTTTCCTCTGGCCTTCCCCGCCATCATGCACAATGCAGCTCCTCAGTTCTCCCTGCTGCCCCTGGAGTTGGGCAAGCACACAGACTCCCTTCAGGTTTGTGGGTTCCCACAGGAGGACTGGCAGGGCTAGAATAAGAGCAAGGCAGCTGTGGAACCGCTGGAAACCCTGTGGGCACTGCCCCTAGCGGTCCTGCTGTGGGAGGGAGAGAGACTGGGGCCGGATCGCCACTCCCATTCTTCTCGGTGGTCATCCACGGGGGACCTCCAAGAGCAAGTACAGAAGGGCTGTCCCCGGTCGGGCCTGGGCATAAACCACGGCTCCTGTACCATCCAGAGGAGAGCTTGGCAGAAGTGGATCCCGTGCTGAGGCAGGGACTCTGTGTGACTGCACAAGGCCATCTTATGTCCCCAGCGTGGGCAGACAGCATCCAGGCAGGGGTTGGCTGCTGTTGAAGCGGGGCTGGTTTTCCTCCCTCTAACCCAGTGTCTCTGCCCCCTCTGCAGCTGGTGCTGCCGGAATACTCCATCCACAGCCTCTTCTGCATCATGTTCCTGTGTGCGCAGGAGTGGCTCACCCTGGGGCTCAACGTCCCTCTGCTCTTCTACCACTTCTGGAGGTGAGTCTGCCTGGCCTGGCCCTCCTCCTTCCTCCCTGCCAGGGCACCTGCTCACCCGTGGCGACAGCCTCCAGCCAGATCGGCCACTGTGGCTTGTCCTCGTGCCCAGAGCTTTGGGGCTCTCCTTGCAAAGGTCCCCTTCCTGGGCTGCCTCTAGGCAGCAAGAAGGGCAGGCCCCGCCCCTGGATTCCGTTAGCCACACCCCCACCCTGGAGGTCAGAGTTAGAGGAAGCTATAGAGTTATTGGTAATGGCCCACAAGTGGAAGCGACCCAGGGCCCACCTGCAGAGGGGTGGGCAAAGAGTGCTACATCCATGGGCTGGAATGTCCCTGGACAAGGAATGAGCACGGATGCAGGCTACCGCCTGGATGAACCTTGAAGAAAGTGCAAGTGCAGGGAGCCAGGCACACAGGCCACATACTGTAGGATTCCATTTACATGAAAAAATCCAGAGGAGGCAAATCTGTAGGGACAGGAAGAAAGTTAGTGATTTGCAGGGCTGGGAGGGGTGGGAGAGTCCAGCGGGTTCAGGGTTTTCCTGCACCAGTGATGGAACGGTTCTGATACTAGGTGGTGCTGATGGTTGCACAGTTCTATGAATATTGTAAAAGAGTCAAGTTTATGGCATGGGAGTGATCTCCTTATAAAATCAAAAAGAGCACCCGCTGGACTTTCTGGGACAGTTCCAAGTTCAAATATCCTGTTCCCTGCCAAGACCGTGTGTCGGAGCACGTGCTGTGGGGATTTTGTAAAATGCAGTCACCGTGCGGATGTAGGAGGTGGGGGCAGGGCCACCGAAGCAGCCGAGAGGCAACTGTGAAGCTAAATTACTCAGCCTGAACCCCTGCTCTCCAAGCTTGGCTTCCCCCCGCCCCGATGTTTTATCGATGTCATTTTACCGTTAAAACAGAGCCTATATCTAGTCGTGTCTGAGGCATTCACCCCTTCATTTCACAAGTGTGCAGGACACCTGCCACACGCCAGGCGGCAGGAGGGGTTCCAAGGAGAATGTCCAGTAGAATCCTTGACCTCAGGGACTGTGCATGCTAGTGGCAGAGACACATGAGGAGTATGTGTAGGAGCAGCAGCAGAGACACACTTCGGTTAGTCTGACACTTGACATCACTGGAAAACCTGGAAGAGCACATTCCAGCCCGAGGGACCGGCATGTGCAGAGGCCCGGAGGTAAGAGAGCCCAGGGTGTGGCTGAGGAGCAGTAACTGTTCAGTGTGGTCCAGGGTCAGGTTCATGGGGGCAAGGAGGAAGAGATGGGGTTGACAGACAGCTGGGGGTCTGGTTTGGAGGCCTGAAACGATCTGAGGGGGGAAGCTGGAATTTACTCTGGAGGGCACAGAAAGCCATCGGGGCTCTGGAAGCGGACATGCACTGGGAGGTGACCCCAGGGACAGCGAGAAGGAAAGGCTGGCGGGTGAAATCGTGAGGACAGATTCCAGTGAGGGGGTCGTGGGGAAGAGTGAGGCAGACCTGGCCCAGGCAGTGGAAGCTGCAATGGGGAGAGGACGAGAGAACCCGCGGAGGCAAACTGGACGGGCCTTGGCCCATCGTCGGGTGCAGGGGTGAGGGAGAGGGAGCTGCTAAACTGGGTGGCTGGGTGGGTGCCGGTGCCATTGACCAAGCGCAGGGGTGGTGAGGAAGTCACCATTTTAGGGAAGAAGGAAACGGATCCGGTCGCATAGGGAAGCCTTTCCTTAACCAAGGCCAGCCTGCCGCAGTCCGAATTTAGAAAGAAATACAGCAAGAATCATGGCAGCGAAGAGTATGGAGGCCCCACGCGGGGCTTGCCCTGCCTGTCCACCTCCAGGATCCGCAGCAGGGACCCAGAGACTCCCAGGAGTTGAGTGAGCACCCAGAGTCCCTCAGCTTGCGTGTGGCGGGGCCGTCGCTCGCCCCCTTCTGGGGGTGAATCCCAGGCCGTGGCCATGTCCTTGCCCCCTCACATGCGGTCACGGGGGCTGGCTCGTCTCTCCCCAGATCCCTTCTGGTGGTCTCAGAAATGTGGCTACTCTGCAGGACTTTGGTTGGTGGGCAGCCTCTCAGTGCTGGTGCTTGAAGAGGAGGAAGGGGAGGAGGGGGAAGCCAGCAGGTGCCCTTGTACTTGGAAGGGCTGCAGCCCTGCAGGAGGGAGCGCCATCGTCTGCTTGCCCATAGGAACCTGCTCTTGCTTTTTTACAGCCTCTGAGAGGATCCAGCTCCTGGCAATTAGTAGCTATTTGGGTCCTGAAAGAAAATAGTAAGGAGGGGGCAGGCACGTGGGCTAGCAGTTAAGACCCATGCATCCCATATCGGAGGGCCTGGGTTCAAGTCCTGGCTCTGCTCCCAGTTCCAGTTTCCTGCTAATGCACACCCGGGAGGCAGCAGTGATGGCTCAAGTAATGGAGTCCCTCCCTGTCACCCACGTGGGAGGCCTGGATTGAGTTCCAGGATCCTGGCTCTGGGGCTCTGCCCGGCCTGTTGCAGGCATTTTGGGGAGTGAACCAACAGATGGGAGATCTCTCTCTCAAATAAATAAATAAAACAGAGAAAAGAATGAGGAAGGAGGCGTCCTTTAGTAAACGAGTCCTGGAACCCCTCCTTTCTCCCTTTCCTCATTCTCCTTCCTTTCCAACAGGTCCAGTCTAGACTTCTTGTCATGCAAATGAGCCCCCTCTGCTCTGACTCTGTTCGCTTACATAAAGTAGAACTGCCTGCCATTCTCCCACTGCCTGCTTTTTGCATACATCACCTCACGTAGTCATCACAGCAATCCTTTGAAGTGGGCAATTTCACCCCCATTTTACAGACGAGAAAGTTGAGGCTCAGACAGGCAATGATTGACCTAAGGAAGGTCACTCTGGTGACGGGTGAGTTCTTTCCTCCAAACCACTTGGCCACCCTACCTGTCTGCTTCCACTAAATGAAGTCACCTGGGGACAAAGCCACAGCCAGAGTCTTTAAGTGTGTGCTCCCGGGAGGAGGAGGGGAGCAGCCTGGAGCTCTGGCTTGTGGTGCTGGTGACAGTAACGTCAGGGCAGTCCTCTGAAAGGGACGGAAGAGGGGCCCGGGACACCAGGGGTGCGGGCCGCTCCGTGGCAGGGGGATGTTCTTCAGACCCTGCGTGCGCAGTCTGCTGTCAAGAGCCTCACTCCTGGTTCCTGCTCGGGAGGGGGGCGGCTACCTGTGCCAGAGCCCGTGGGAGCCCCAGTGTGCCCGCGTGCCTTCCCGCACTCCCTTGCCAGGTGACCAGCAGGCAGCCCACAAGCAGGTACTTTGTTCTTGATTTCTGCAGGAGGCTGTGGCTGAGTGCCCCCCCCCACACACACACAGTGGGCCAGGGCTCAGGTCCCGAAGGTGGTGACTTCCGCCCAGGTCTGCCCACCTCCTCCGAGGCCTCGGCCGGTTCCAGGTGGAGCAGCTGTGGATGCGGTATTTGATTTTTTTTTTTTTTTGACAGGCAGAGTGGACAGTGAGAGAGAGAGACAGAGAGAAAGGTCTTCCTTTTGCTGTTGGTTCACCCTCCAATGGCCGCCGCGGCCGGCGCACTGCGGCCAGTGCACCGCGCTGATCCGATGGCAGGAGCCAGGAGCCAGGTGCTTTTCCTGGTCTCCCATGGGGTGCAGGGCCCAAGCACCTGGGCCATCCTCCACTGCACTCCCGGGCCACAGCAGAGAGCTGGCCTGGAAGAGGGGCAACCGGGACAGAATCTGGCGCCCCGACCGGGACTAGAACCCGGTGTGCCGGCGCCGCTAGGCGGAGGATTAGCCTAGTGAGCCGCGGCGCCGGCCCCGTGGATGCGGTATTTGGAAGCAGTTTGCTTCTCTCAGAAGGAGAAGTACCTGTGCTCTCCCCGCACCCTCCAGTGGGAACCTGTGACCCTCCTGGGGCCATCGGGGCTTTAGGGGAAGCACAGAGGCGTGGAGGCAGCGCTGCTGTAGCTCTGTAAGGAGGCCTTTCCTGGTGACACCAAGTGATGCTTATTTTCCCCCTGTGTCGGAGCAGCTGTGTGTGGCCCAGGGTTCTACCCGCTGGAGCACAGTGCCTGAGCCGCAACTCTGCTTCTGGCAGAAGGCAGCTAGTGGCTTGCCAGCACAGTCCTGCCACGGGAGGGCGTGGCCCAGAGGGTGGGCGTGCCCTCACCTCGGAGCCCTTGATGCTTTGTCCTGCTCCCCCGCAGGTATTTCCATTGTCCAGCCGACAGCTCCGAGCTCGCCTACGACCCGCCGGTGGTCATGAACGCGGACACCCTGAGCTACTGTCAGAAGGAGGCCTGGTGCAAGCTGGCCTTCTACCTCCTCTCCTTCTTCTACTACCTTTACTGGTGAGTCGCTGCCCCGCCTGGCGGGTGAGAGGAATTCCAGGCTGGTCCTGGGAAGGTGGCGGGGAATCTGCATGGCCAGCTGGGTGTGGCCCCCCTGTCCGGCTCTGGTTTGGGAGTGAGAGCTTCTGCATAAGAGAGGAAAGGGCAGGAGGCCTTGCTGCTGATGGGCACGTCCGCAGGGCCAGGCAGGGAGATTGCGTGCTGCTAGCATCCACCTCTGGGAGACAGCTGGTGGCGTGCGGGAGGCACAGCTGAGTGACTGTCTTCCTCCCTGGGGAGCTGCCTGCCTCCTGGGGCTCCCAGGGCAGCCACCAGGCTGCCGTGGCTTCAGGCCACAGCCTTGTGGCCTCTGGCCCCCTCACCTGATTGTCGGGGTTCTTGGGGACCCTATCAAGGATCCCACAGCAGGAGTCAGGCTTCAGTGTGGCGTGCAGTCAGCATTAAGTGCTGACACTTCCAATTCTCCCAGCATTACGTAAGACCACTCTACACGAAACCTGCCCACTTTGCAATTCCATTTCAGGAATGGCCCCTCTTTCACCTGCTCACTCAGAACATCCTGGCTAAGCAGGTAGCTATAAACAGACCGCCTTGTGGCTGGATCCGCTAGAAAGTGCTTGTTCTGAGCGCCTCTCCTCCTTCCTCTTCCTTGTTTGGGCTGGTCCCTGGGGCCCCTCACCTGTCACCCTGCTGTCCCGTCACTACCTGTGGCAGGGCCATGCTCGTCTGCAGCCATTGCCAGTGCTGTCTCCAGAGGGCAAGGCTGACAGTAGGCAGGTGAAGAGGAGGAGTTTCCACGGCCACCTTGGGGTGGGATTGGGCTGGGATCAAGCTGGGGGAGGGGTTGTGGGTCCGCGGAGCGCCCCTCTGCAGAGCTGTGGACCGAGTATCTGTCCCCAGAGACAGCATGGTTCCTCCTCCAAGCCAGAAGCACAGGGTCAGCGCCTTCCCTGGCTCCTGCGCTGTTAGCCTGGGCTCTACCTCAGGCCATCTGGAGGCTGAGCCAGGACAAGCTCCCTCGGTTCAGTTTTGCTGCAGAATCCTGCAGCCCAAGGCGGCGAGGGGAGGAAAGCAGATGGATTCCACACAGAGAGCAGAGCAGCTCGGTGCCTGCTCGGCTGAGGGTGAAGGGGCGGCGTGGGGCCGTCAGCAGCTCCTGGCCAATAGATGGGTGTGATCTGACCCCTCCCTCACCGTGCGTGATCCAGACGTTCTGATCCATCAACTGTCCTCTGGGCCATTGCTTCTGTTTGCTGCTGCCTTCCTGTTAATTCATTTACTACTTTGTTTCCAAAACAGGACTGGAAACAACTGCCCCTCCCACTTCACTGGGACCCTGGGAGGTGGTCCAGGTGCACCCTCATTCTTTGTTGAACTTGAACTCTGGATGCTCTTTGAGGTTCCTCAAAAATACTGTTTTCTCCTCCTACCAACCCCAGGTCTGGAGCCGGGGGAGAGCCCAGGGCTGTGTTCCCAGGCATTGTGGGAGGGAGGGGACCCACCTGTATGCAGAGCTACCTCTGAGCTGAGGCCAGGCTGAGAAGGCGGGGTTGGCACTGTACAGCCTGAGGTTCTGAGGGGTTCCTAAGGACCTCACAGAGGTTAAGAAATGTGCCCAAGGTTCCAACTAATACTTGGCACTTTCTCAGCCTTTCCTGAATCTTAGCTCATTCCCCCATCTTGCGCTAATCCTGTGGCTCCCACTGCTCCCACCCCCTTCTCAGTTTGCCTTGTGGACCAGGTAATGTCTCTGGGTCCCCTGGGATAGGGACCACCTAATAATAATAAGCCCCTCACCTGTGATTGTGCTGCACCTCTCAGAAGTTGCAAATAAAGTCTAAAATGCATTTACTACACCAAGCCTACTCAGTGTCATAGCTGAGCCTGGCCTACCTTAGACATTCTCAGCATTTTGCCTCCAGCTGCACAAAATCATCTAACACAAGTGTGGTACTGAAAGTGAAAGGCAATGTGTACAGGTAGGCTTTTGCACCCTCATAAAGTTGAAAAATTGTCCAGTTGCACCGTCCTAGGATTGGACTTGTACAAAACACCACTGCCAGCTGGGGGCGCTGGTGCGAACACTGCTTGCTCAACACACTGGTCTTCTCCAAGTAGGCCAGTCCTCCCTGCAGCAGCACCACCCTCCCGCCCAGCGCTTCTGGGGCCTGCCTCAGGCTTAGTTCTCACTCCCTGCGCTTGCCGTAGCTGTGGGTTATTTGTCCCCTGGTGCCTGAGAACTTGTCTGTTTCACCAACTTCCGTGTCTGCGGCCCCCGGCCCGTGCCCGTCGCGTAGCAAGTGCTCACTGAATCCTTGCCCGCTGTTCCAGTGTGGCTGTATGCTTCTTCAAGGTGCGGACTGGGGCTCATTCTCGCCTGCCCCTCAGTGTTTCCCAGCACTGAGTGCGGTGCCTGGCAAGTAGCAGGCTCTCAAGAAATAATAAAGCAAGGATGCGCGTGAGCAGAGGAGGGCAGCCACTGTGAGGCTCTGTGTTGGACTGGAAAAAGCACTGGCTTTGCAGGTGGAGAGTGGCCCCTCGCCTTGGGCTCAGTAGTCGTGTGATCCTGAGGGACGCACTCTGGTCGTCACCTTCCCCGTGGGGACTGGGTCCCTGCAGCTCCAGACCTGAGCGGTGATGCTGTGAGACACGAGTGGAGCAGGGGCTGGAAGGCGGAACACCTGCTGCTTAGTAGAGCTCTCGGGGCCTCCCAGAGAAAGGGTGGACAGTAAGGCATTTTCATTTCCGTCTCCTGGCTCTGTTCCTTATGCTAACCTTCTCCCTTCTATAACGTGAGAAGGCGGTGGTTTTCCTTTCTGGCTGACAAAGTGGCCCTTGCAGAATAAACCCTTCCTCGGCCTTGCAGAATGAACACGAAGCCCCTTCTAAGAGCACAGGGATGGTTGGCCCCCTCCCTGGTGGTGTTGAGGCACCTCCATCAGACCTGGAGGGCCAGAGACTTCCCCGATTAAGAATTCATTTAGTTGGTCTGCCTCCCAGGGCGGGTGGCCATACCTCAGGATCTTTTTCCTGGCACTAGAGTGTTACCCAGCATTCTCTGGGAGGCTGCTGGACACGGCTGTCAGGTGAGCACGTGACAGCTGGTGGCATCGGGTCCCATGCACCCACCTCCTCCCTGAGACCTGTCCTGCAACGGCAGGGAAAGGAATGGTAACCGTAACATCCAGCCTGCCGAGAATGGTAATAGGTACTTAGCAATCATCTTTTATGCTCTGCTACAGATGTTTCTTGCAGTGTGGTGGGACGCAACAAAGGCCCCAGGGAGTGCCTGCAGCACTCTAGTGGGGTGAGGAGAAGTCCGAAAGGCCAGCCTTGGGGAGGCTCCTCTCCCGAGAGCCACCCTGAGTCCTTCCCCACTCCCACTGACGCCTTCTTTCCCTCTGCTTCTTTCACGCAGCATGATCTACACATTAGTGAGCTCCTAATTCAAGACCACAGACCTGGCTCATCGAGATGGGCATGGGCGAGGCTGGAGAGTCCACTTCCGCAGGAGACGATGGAGCAGGGACCACAGTGGGTGCGTGTGGGCCAGAGGCCGGGCAGACCGGGCCGGATGTGGCGCTGGAATCACACAGCAGCCGGGAACGGAGCTCTCTGGTGTCAGCCCGTGCGTCCCAGTCTTTGGCGTTCAAATCCCACACGCGGGTCACGGAGCGGGGGAGGAGGTGACAGAACATCAGACCTCTCCTCTGCTTCCTGAATCCACTTCCTGCAAACCCCCTTGCGAGTCCACACCAAGTTCCTGGACTGTGGGAGTGAGGGCCATAGGAGGCTGGATGGTGCTTGCTAAGGAACGGAACATCCCAGGGTCAAGGCCAAATCTGCAGGACCCACTGAAGGCCTCAAGGATGCTGGAGCCTCTGGTTGTGTTCCTTCCAAACCCGAGTTTTGCCTTCAGCTGAGAAGTCCGCTCCCGCGCCCTGTGATGTAGGGGCACCGCCACGTGGCGACTTCATGAGCTGTGCTGACTTCGTGAGCTGGGTTGGGGGCTGTACCCTGGTGATGAGCTACATCCAAAGTCAAGGGTGTCAGCCGGGGAGGGAGGTGTGTGGGAAAAAGGGAATTTTTAAACATTTGCAACCCGTTCAAGGTGTTCCTTCTTCCCCATTGCAAGTTGCCACCCAGAACACAGCACAGTCCTGGAAGGGAATCAGTGGGTCGTCAACAGTAAGAGCTCCGCGATTCTGAAGATGGCAAAGCAGTTCCAGTGCCAGCAGATCCTGCCGAGTGGCTGCTGTGTCCTGTGGGCACTGGGCAGCCGGGTAGTGAGACAACATAATGACAGCTGAGGTTCTCTGGTGCCTCGTCCACGCCGTGGGGTTCCACGCGAGGCTGTGATCTGATCCCGATTTGCCACGTGGCTTTCTCTCCGCCACGTTCCGGGGGGAGGCGTGGAAAAGGTGTAAGTCGTGTCAAGGCCGAGATTGGGCACAATGATTTTGACCTCACTCCCCTGCCTCCCCAGCTCCCCTGCTCTTTGGCGCACACGAGCTATTTATACCAGCACCGGCTCCCATCAGAAGCCCGTGACCCAGGGTTCTGAATGATTTGTGTCACACGCCCTGTGCTCCGTGGAAAACGCAGTGACAACCCTAGTGCCCAGCTAACCGACTCTCTCTCTCATTTCCACCCCGTCCCGGGCTGCATTCACCTCCCTCGGGTTGGCAAAGCAGGAGGGAGAAAAAGCAGATTTTTTTTTTTTCCAGAAAGGAATTGTGCGTCTAAGAATTCTGCAGCCAACAAAACACTGCCTTTGGCTCCGTGGCTGACTGTAAAGCAGGATTCACGGTGATGTTTCGGGAGGAGGCTTCCGGTTGGCCAAGCCTCCTGCTGCCAGCTGGCGACCTGTGGGTGAGAGGAGAGAGTCAGTGCCTGGGCGGCGTGGCCCTGCCCTAGGCTGCAGCCCTGAGCAGCCGAGTTAGCACTCAGGCCCAGGAGCAGCCCTGGCTTCCAGGCTGCAGGCAGCTGCTGTACCCTCACAGCCACCCTGCAGATACCCTGGACGGAGCGGGCAGTGGGTTTTATCTCTGCCTCCCTCCAGAAGGGTTTGAAGTGACTTCTGATAGGAGACGCAAGGTCACAGAGATTGTTGAAGCAGGAAATTCGAACTTCAAAGGGGTGAGCGTGCAGAGACACCAGCTTCCTAAAGCTCTCGATTTGGGGTTGAGCATTAAACCTGAAGTCATTTCTCTTAGTAGCAAGTAATAATAATTCCGATTTACCCAGTGCTGCTCTCGCGCCCCACAAGCCTGTGTAGTCCACACTGCTCTTCCCCTGTTTGTGCAGAAGCTGAGGTTCAGAGAGGGTAGGCGGCTGGCCCACAGTCACACAGCAGCTGCAAGCCCGTCTTTGAACCCACGCAGTCTGACTTCAGGTCCTTTCCATCACTGTTGAAGGCTGCTGGGTAGCAGAGGGTCCTGTTTGGGTTGCTTGCCTGTTTCCCCTCGTGTGCCGGCCTCCGACTGGCTTTACTGTGGCAGGCTTTTCTCCAGAGTGGCCCTTTAAGAGCTTTACAGGTGCAGGTCTCTCTTAGGCAGCTCTGGTATTTATGAAACAGACACGTCCAGATGTTCCCCTTCCACGGGTTGTGATGGGAAACAGTTCTGTAATCTGTGGGAGTTCTGGTGGATTGTTGGTCCCTTGGAGGAGCTGATCACAAAGATAAACGTATGAGGCACGGACACGGGTGCTGCAGCAGGTGCCGGGCGCCGGGGGCCGTGTTAACGAGCTTTGAGAGCGATCCCACCCATGCTCACGAGCCGCCTGCAGAGCAAGTTGGCAATTCTCCCCACTCTCCCAAGTGAGGATGCCGGGGAGGCTCAGGGCAGGGGAGGGAGGACCAGCCCAGAACGAGAGCTCCATGCTACGCAGAGGCAGCCGAACAGTAACGCTGGTCTCCAACAGGGGTGTCGGGTGTTCTTCTCCGTGCTTTTTTGCTGAGCCCCACAACAAAAGCACGAAGTGGATTCTGTTTTATAGAGGAGGCAGCTGCGAGGAGAGAGCTTGCAGAGTTCCACGGCGAGAGGGGTGCGCAGTGGCTGCGGCTGCGGCTGCGGCTGCGGCTGCGCCAGGGCTGCCTCTCCTCCCACGATTTCGCTGGCTCGGACATCTTGGCCCCTCACTGCTTATCCCGCAGAGATGGCCAAAGAGAGGGAGGGCGGCAAAGCTGCAGGGAGTCCTTCGACTTTCCCAGAGCTCCGCTCATCACAGCGGAGTGCCCTGGAGCTGTGCAGTGGCTCACTGAGCACAACTCAGGGGACGGATGGTACCTGAAGGTGCTGGGGGGGAGTAGGTTCCCATCCCCTTGGAGAGGGCGGAGGGGGCCCTGTGCAGTCACTGTAAGTTCCCTGTTCACTTAGGTGGGGAAACGATAAGCCGGCCACACGGGCTTGCTGTGAAGATTAAGGGAGGGGCAGGCGTGTGGCCCAGTGGTGAAGACGCTGCTTGGGTTGCCCGGATCCCGTATCACAGTGCCTGGGTTCAAGTCCCAGCTCCGGCCCCAGTTCCAGCCTCCTGCCGGTGTGCACCCTTGAAGGCAGCAGGGGCCGGCTGGAGTAGTTGGATCCCTGCCACCCTCGCGGGAGACCCAGCTTGGGTTCTGGGTGACTGGCTTCAAGCTGGCCTGGCCCTTGTGGGCTGGCATTTGGGGAGTATAAGAGAGAATGGGAAATTCTAGTCTGTCGGTCATCTGTCTGTCTCGGTCTCTCTGCCTTTTAAATAAATTTTAAAAACTCAAACGACTCTGTCTCTGCAGATAACTTAGCACGTGGTGAGCACTGCTTGTTGAGTCTTCCTCATGACCCCTGCTCTGCGCTACACCCACACTCAGGGCAGGGGCCCTTGCTTTGGAGGGGCTGCCGAAGCCGGCTGGCCGTGGGGGAGGGCAGTGAGGATCCCGGGACCCAGCTGGCTCCCGAGGCCCTGTTACCATCTGTACTACCCGAGCGGAGGCGGGGCCAGGACCTGACTCCTCTTTTCAGTGCCGTGTTCTCTGGCCAGTGGTGCCGACGGCTACTGCCAGAAACCATGGTGGCTGCTCTGCAAGGCGCCGGGCATCTGCGGTCTCCTGGACAATGGGATAAGGTCGGAACCCTTCCTGTCTTCAGGTTGAAGGTAGAGAGGCCTCCGGAGTCAAGCTCAGGAGAGGAGCCAAGGTCACGCCTGCTGCCAAGTCGAGGATTGCAATCCAGGTTCGGGGGCCTTGATCATTTTGCATTCCTGAAAGGGTGATGGAGTTAAGAGAGGGCAGTGGGATGCGAGAAAGGGGACAGAGATGCAGCAGGAGAGGGTGCTGCCCCGGGAGTGTGGCTCTACTGGCATACCGGGTTTTCCACCAAGGCAGCACACCGTGGATGACTTTGTCATCAGAAGGAAGAGGGCTGTGGGGGCTTAGGCAAGCTGCTTGACCTGAGACTGGACAGTCTCATCTCTGGAAAGGGGGTCACAGCACCTCTTTGTGAGTGGTGTTGTGATAAATTGTGTATAGAGAGCTTGTAGCATGAACCTGTCACGTGATGTCTTGGTCCTCAGTGTGCCCCTGTGCTCCCCTCCCTTCACAGAGTGAAGGCAGGATTATGTGGCTGGAAATGAATGAAACACCTCTCACAGGAGCACGTGGTGACATCTTTGAGTCTTAGCTTCTGGGGCTGGGCTGACCCAGACATGCAACGTGGGTGACGGGAACTCTCCCCCTCTGTTTACTATTTTTAGGCTTGTTGGTTGCACTGCTGTTGAATAAAGTTGTCACTGATATGACAGTCTTGTCCTCCTGCATGAGAGATGAATGCAGCCAGCAAAGTGCTTTGACAACAATTAGTTGCCTTCCTGCTGTGTCATCGCACAGATCCTTCTGGTAACCCTTTCTTTGTGTGGACTTGGGCTGCTCCATTCCAAGCCGTGCTATGGTAAACGGCTCTGCGGCAGAACCTTCTGCAGATCTTGGAGTTGTCGGTCTAAGGGGGACATCTGAGGGCTGCCTCTGTTCCCAGTGCCGGGCGGAAGGCTGGAATCGCTGTGGGGGATGGAGTGTGCTCCATCCCAGGCAGAGGGGAGCAGGAGCCCACCAGGGGAGCGACTCCTCAGGGCGCAACCAGGCTTTTCTAGGGAAAGCTGGTGGTAACTTACAGCTTTGTGGAGTGGGGAGTAGCCTTTCCTTGTGGGAGCTGCGTTTCTAGAGGGGAATTGCCCGCGCTGGCCCCTTGCATGGGGTTCCAACTGCTACCTGTGATCCAGAAGTGGAAACACGGTTAAAACAGCTGCAGCAAAGTCACGTCTTCCAGGCTTCAACTCCGGCCACGCTGTGCTCATTTCTGCCCCCACTGAATTCCTCTCGGGTAGGTCTCAAGGCCCCAAGAGCGGCTTCCTGTGCTGTGAACTTGACCTCTTGGCTACCACTGCTGCATTTTCTCCCCTCCCAGCTAGCAGCGCGCTGGCTTGTACAGGCTCATGACAGCCTGTTGTTCAGTTGTGAGCGATTTTGCCAAACAGCTGTTGAACACAGCCATGGCTAAAAACTGAATTATATAAACTTAAATAAGTGTCATTAAAATAAGGGTGATAGTCAAAACGCATCACTTCCGAGTTTACTACGTTTCACCGTTACCCGTGCTCTTGGGGCTCTGTCCCTAGCATCAATGGTGGAGGTGCTGGACAAGCATCCCACGGAGCTCCTGGCCCTTCCTGTTCCGAGGTGTCCCCAAGTGGCTTGACAGTGGCCAAGGTGGGAGTATCTACCCCGCAGTAGCTGGCAGATGCAGCACATTAGCCCCTTCCCCTCTGTCCCTCCCACCAGCCCTTCCTGAGTGCTAGTTAGGCATTTACCCATGACACGCTGTGGGAGCCAGGGCCCCCAAGGGCAGCGTCATGACCCCTGATGCCACAGCCGTGGGTGGTACTGTGGCTGCTGTGTCTGAGGGCCTGGGCACCAGGGGCTGCTGCCTTCACCCCATCGCGGTGACACCAGTGGTGCTGCCACTCATGAAAGCCACCTGTTAGGTCTTTCTGCACTGTAGGATACGGCAGCTTGGCCTGCAGGAAGGTTATGTGACGCATCTTCTTCCAAGGTGAAAATGCTTTATACTTGCACCCGAGCCCTACTGTCCTTGAACTAGCGCGGGGCCTCTGTTCTTCCTTTGGGATAGGTCCCTTTCCAGGAGGCTCCTAATGTCCTCATAGACAGGGTCTGTGCCTCTCGTGTGAGTCCTGGGTGAGTACAGGCTGCACTCTGCCACGTTACCCACCTCAGAAGCAGTCCCATGCTTGTGAAGGGCCCGGGCCCGTGCTTGCACAGAAAGTAAGCCCTGTCGCCATTGCTTCTTTGTCTTTCCCTGCTCAGCTCTCTGGGCTGTCCAAGGTAGGCACCCCCTCCTCTCTAGCTGGTCTGGTAGCCACTCTTCTTCATGCACTGTCTCCTGCAGATGGGCCGGCCTCCTCCCTGCACCTGCTGGCCCCTCCAGGGCAGACACATGCCTTCTGGTTTAGAGACACAGCAGCCCGAGAAGGCTCGACTCCCTGGCAGCTGGAGGAGAGAGACTTAAATACCACTGCAGTGTTTCTGTTCCAGTGACATTCGGGGGGCTGAGCAGTAAACGCTGGCCTTTTCAGAAACACTTGACAGGCGAGAAGGAAATCATCAACTTGCTGGCAGGAACATGCCTCTGATATTCTACGGTAGGGGGAGCAGGGGAGAGAGTCCTTGTCAGCTACCAGGCTCCACGTTCAATTGCAGTGACGCATCTCAGCCAGGCCCGGGGCCTGGAGGTCTGTTTTGGCTGCAGCAATGAAAACAGCAGGGGCAGTACCACAGGCTCAGGGGCAGATGTGCCCGTGCGTGGCATCACAGGGCGGGTCTTGGCTGCCATTCTGATTTTTGCCACAGCTAAATGGAGAACAAGCTGGATGGTGTGGTGATTTTCCAGACCCTTCGAGGACCAGAGAGCCCCTCCCAGTGAAATGGAGGTGCCCACCCAGCACGTGAGCTGGATCCCCAGAGGGTAGCCTGGGACCCTGCACCCTAAGGGCCCCGCCTTTCGAATCAATGGCTTTGTTCTGAAGCTGTACTTTGTGATGAAAGCAGCCACCTGAGTTATGGGCTGCTGTGGGACAAATGGTTGCAAGAACACAGCAGCGGCTCTGGCAGCATCGACGTCTAGGTAGAAAGAAGAATCTGAGGCCGTGCCTTTGGGACACGTGCTGCCTGTGTCCGGGTTACGGGACACCCCAACATGGGTTTCCAGCCTCACAGTTCAGGGAGGCTCAGCCCAAGGCAGACCCAGTCAGGCATCCAATGGAGTGATTTGCCTTGGTCGGGAGCTGCGTGGGGTAGCTCAAGGGTGCTGGGTCGTGGGCGGTGTCAGTCTGGAAGCTGGACGTCGCCCTGAGCGGGTGCCCTGGCTCTGCCCTTGGCCCCGGCCTGTTCACTTCTTGTCAACAACTTCCTTATGGAGGCAGCCATCAATTCTGCAAGGCCACAGAGCTGGAAAGGATTAAATGAGGACAGGACGGGGAGATTTAAAAAAAGAAATCAGAAGCCTCGACTTAGTGGGAGGAGTAAGAGAGGGGGAAATGCAAGAGCTCCCCATGGACTAAAAAGGGTCAGTGAGAGACAGAGAGAAAGGTCTTCCTTTCCTTTGGTTCACCCCCCCAAAATGGCCACACCGGCAGTAGCAGGGAACAAACAGGGCCAAATCCACAGGCCCTTTGGGGACAGGTATTTAAGCTCAAATGCTAGGCTTTGTCCTTTTAAGGCCCTCACTAAATATATGAATTGGATTTTGGAGAGGTTTCAGCATCTGCAGGAGGCAGTGTACCAGGGAGGGCCGTGGGAGGCCAAGAGAAGGAGGTTTGGCCACATGGAGGCCTCTTGCAGCCGGCCGCAGTGAGCCAGGCAAAGGCGTGCCCAGGGTGCAGGCAGCTCCTTGGTTACCACTGCAAGAACCACCCTGGAATCATTCTCCAAAGAAGCAAGAAAGCCGAGGGCTCTAAGACCCAGGGGCGCAAAGACGACTGCTCTCCAGGGTCACAGAGTGACCGACTGGCAGAAAACATCTTTTGCATGTACGACAGTGAAGGATATCTTGACAAATAGAAAGCCAGGCCTTCGGCTCTGTTTATTGGCTTGAGAGAGCCTGGCCCCTGGCTGGGGAAGCCTCCAGTGGGGAGTCACACACAGGAGACCCACGCGCGGCTTGGCCAGGAGGCTTAGAGGCGGCCTGAAGTCCATCACGGGCTCGGCTTTTGTGCAGGGCCTCAGTGGCCACTGCTCTGCCCACAAACCCCGGGGAAGTCTCTGAGTAGGGCTGTAGGAGGGGCAGGGAGAGACGAGGTTTCCCCTGTTCGCGTCCAGCTTTTTGGGGAGTTGCTAGGCCTGGTCCCGAGGGACAGAGGAGAGCGGGCAGCCTTGAGCTGGTGGCCGTACCTGGCCTGGGCTCAGTGGAGACACCATACGCTCCTCCACCCACCCACTCCCCAGAGAGACCAGAGGCCTGGGTGGGCGCCGGGGGACGGAGTGTGGGTGTTCTGAGGGGTTTGGAGCGGACTCCAGGGTCAAGCGTGTGTGAGCACTCAGGGCTTCGTGACCAGCTGTATTCGTGGGGCTCAGTTTCCCGCTGTGGCTGTGATGTTACCCAGGCCAGGGGGGAGCGCTGGCATCGTCGGCCTTGGAGTGACAGTGGGAATTCTACTCCCCCTCTCGTTGCTGTGTGAAGCTGACCCCATTTCTTCACCTTGCTCAGTCTCT